AAATAAACACATAAATAACTTACCGCCGGGGTAACTTTTATTTTAACACCACAATCCACCCCGTCACACACCCCAACCCACCACCGCGCCACCACCCATGTTTTCCTTTGCCCCGCACCACGCTCCTCGATCATATAATAGTCTTTCCCGTCCGCGCCGGTATGGTATGTGTACAAATACATATAGTGTTGGAAATTGAATTTTCTCGGTCGCGTATAACAGGATTTTTCCACCTGAACATATCCGGGGGTGTAAAACCTAAATGTTTTATTTTTATTTTTTTCTATTCGAGGGAATATGTGGGCTGCTCGATTTCGTATACAAGTTATATGTATATATGATATATATATATATGCATACCTGCACGCGGCGTACTACTAAAACGAAAAGCAGTTGTAACATGTGTATAATATATTGGTACACACCACGGAGTGGTCACACAAAAGATGAACAGTGGGTATTCGAAATGCAATTCGACGACGATCTTTTATGTATTCATTTCATCATTCAGCTACCTACGTATTAAACATATATATATATATATATTATACACCCATACATATATTACGAATACATAATATACGTCGACGGAATAGGTTTCTTTCGAATATCCTACTCCACCGATGACCCAACTGAGTTTCGCAGCAGAGTAATAATTTATAAATTACCTTATCTCGGCCCTCACAGTTATTATATTGTAATCACAAACAGGCTGAAAACAAATCTAAATAATAAAAACACTATGAAGCGCAATAGGCTTAGCGTACGATTCGGAGCAGAGTGATGCGTGTATTACTTTTACAGTTATTATATGCCTTTTTTTAAATGTCAGTAATAATCTTTTGATCATTAAAATGTTTTCAAATTCTAATATTATGGGTGGTTTCTGACATCAAACTGAATTTTTGGTTTGGTCAAAATTGAGCACATCTATTTAAGTGACCGACTCAATGACGAGATACACTCAAAACCTACTATACAGCAGAGCGACCTCTCCGGTTTATTTAAAATATAAAGACATTAGTTTCAAAATACTTTTGCTTGTAATATGAGCTGTTATTCTCAATTTGTTTTTTTCGTTTTACTTTGCATAAAATATATTTCTAAGAACATTAGTTTGAAAAGCGTCGTCGATGATCTTGTCTTTGTACAGAAGAGTGGTGGGAACCATGATTACGAGAATTGAAAATTACCCCTGTAATAGCTGTTGGATTTGTTACGGAATTCTGCCTTAATAATTTATCAATTTATTATTTCCACGCTGTCATTTTAGAAATCCATCATTCAATAGTTTATTGAAAGTATAAATAAGACCATATTCAACTCAAAATTCATTCAGCTTTTGTTCATCGTGACAGTTTAAATTCCGTACGATTTAATGTCACATTTCAACACCTAATACAAATACCATGTACGTTTCAAAATATTATAACTGTGTTAATATCATACTATTATAGTATAATACTAGCTCAAAAGTAATTTTAAAAGTAAAATTATTTATGATACATAACAATTTCAACGAATTACCTACCAACAAATAATATTACTTGGAACAGACATCTATAAAATCAAATAACTAAATATTATATTTCAGATAAAATAAATTAATAGTGAAATAGAGACTTATTGTGCTCTTACAGTAACGTACAACAAGTAAAAAAAAATTTCTGTCGATAATATTAAAATAGAGATGTGTAATGCAATAGGTATATAAAACAACAATGTACTTGAGTGGTTCAAAAACTATAATACAGAAAAAGAAATTGTTCACTAAATTATTGAGATGTTTATTAAGTTTCGATATAAACTTTAAATAATTCCGTAGAAACAACATAATGTCAGGTTTCAATTCAAAAGTACAAAAAAAAAAAATGTACAGTATTCCTAGAATTTTTCGACAGGATACCATTTCAGTTTAAAACTGTTGATGGATTTAATATTACAAAATAATAACAAATAAACCGCCAGTCTTATTAAACGGGCCATCGTGAGTTTTTACTATTATTTTAAGCAAACATTTTATCGTTCTCCCTAGCAGTACGTCAGACCACTTTTGCAAACAATCACAATAGAAATCGTAGGAAGTACGTGTTACATATTATAAGTCAAATGAAAATTGTTTTCGATCCAATTCATAATCATACAATGTAGTAAATTTGCCGAGATGAATAATATACCCAACTAAATAAAAATTATTTGTAGCCATCCAAATAATAATATTAATAATACAAACTGTTTGGAATACTTGGATACAATTCACTCGACATAATAATATAAATCATATACTTTCTTTAAATCATACACACCGTCAACTTTACATTGTCCACCACAAATATCATTTTTCAACTCTAATATATTTTGGTACGTAGTACATAAGATAATAATAATATTTATACCTATATTATTTTTCTAATTTAACCTATATACATAAATGTATAAAACATCATTATACTACATAATATTATAATTGAACGACCATCGATCCACAAGTTCCTTCATTGATACAACAATGAATAATGGAGTTAAAGTTGTAACGCCTTAAATATTTTGTAAAAAAAAAATGTGGGCAATAACGTCTTAAAAAACCAACTGACGTAATCAAATTACAACTAACTATATTATTATGATAATATATAATTTTATAATTTCACACATATATACGTATATATTGTAAATATTGTATGATGTAAACTATGGGTCAGTAAGTTACAATTCAAGTATAAATGAGAAAATAACAAGACATTGTTTATAAGAATTTATGTTTCAGCTTTAGCTGAACAATTTTTTTGATAAAAATTACACACTCACTTGAAACTAGTTATAAAAATGCATATGAGCTGGTGACTAAATATAAATGTGAACATTTGGTGTAACTTAAATCGAATTAATTGTATTCCGTATTTCTATATAAATATTACGATATTACAATAGAAATGTAAAGATCTCTACAATTTAATTTGAAAACCACGAAATATTTTTTCAGTAAACCCAATATTATTTATGAAAGATTTAGAATTGTTTAATGTAGAATTGGCAAGCTGCCTACGTAGACAATTTTAAAAACTTCGCTTCTTACATTATTTATAAATAAGCAATGTTGGTTTAAGACATTTAATGTCCCTTTGAAACACTCTAAAATTACTAGGTAGGTAGGCATAGTACATGGCGTGTACAAGAGACGTTTAACCAAATACTAAAGAGCACTATTAAAGCTGTTGAATTTGCCACCAGCTATAGTGGTTTGAGTAGAAATCGTTGCATGGTTACTTCCTGAAGTAGACTCCACACAATTTATGTCCTCTCGATGGGATCTATCCGAATAAAGGTAGACTTTTCAAAATAATATATTGTTTCACACACGCCTTAAAATGAATATTTTTTCTACCTCGTTTGGACATGGAATAACATACGAATAAAATCGTAAAACGAATTCAAAACTAAGAAAATAATTTTAGTTCTGATAACTGTAACTAACATACAATATTATATTATATTATATTATATTTATTAAGCGGTTGTAGTTAAGTAAAGTTTATAAAAAAAATATTCAATATTCATCACAATTAATCATACTACTACCAAATTCAAAACATATTGTACGTACTATTAAATTGTTCAACGTTCTAATATAAATATTTTATACATAACTACCATAATTAAATCGATTATGCTATAATTATAGATAACTAATATATTAGTTTATAACCTTTTGAAGACTAAATATTTAAAAAATAATAATACTGATACATCAAAATTTATCAGGAATTTAGAATGGAATGATAAAAAAAAGAAAACTTTTATTAATAGTTATTATATTGAATACTGAATGAATACAACATTTTAATAATTTACAGTGTATTCATTGTTTTAATAGTACGATAATTAATTTTTCTTTACCCAGACCCAACTTTTTGAATTATTATAAAATTGTTAACTTATACATATATTATAAAATGATCGAATGAGTTAATGAGTCTAGGTGATTTTAATACGCTTTAACGTATTAAAACAGAACATTTATTTCTTACACAGACAATAACATTTTACGAGACTGTATTTTATTTTTTTATTAAAATTTGGTGATATATTTGGAACACATTAACAAAATAAGCATAGGTTATATTTTGTGTTATTTTAAATCATGTCTGATATCACTTTTAATATGTAATTTATTATTTAGCTCAGGCGCCAACTGCCAAGTAACACATCCAGACATTGGTTTCGACCTTTTGAATAATTGTATACAGCATGAAGCACTTTATTAGTACATTATTTTGGTACACATTTAATTTAATTTTTATAAAACATTATTTCGAAAATTTCAAAATTATATAAAATCGTTTTAATTAAAATGACCGGCGAGACTAGCAAGGTTGGTAGAGAGGACTGAAGAAGTATTATAATAATTTACTAAATATTCTGGTTCTTACAGCCTGAGTCCAGCCTGCTCTATCGCTAAATTTGTAACTTTTATAACAGTAAAAGTGAACCAGATGTCTCACATAAATGTATCATACTAAAGATCTTAGTCCCCTCCGATTTTTTAATAGTCTTGAACGAACAATATTTTAATTCAATCATCGATGAAAATTATATTAGAACTATAAATGATGTAACTTAAATATATGTGTTATAACAAATATTATTACCACACTTGTTTATGTTATTACTTTAATTAAAATATTAACCAGGAATCAATAACTACTGTCCGACTGGTTGGTCACATTATGTTAATATGCCGACAAAGTCAATAATCTAAAATATGCTGATATTTTAATTAAATATGCAATAATTTAACGTGTCACAATCGTTAGAAAAAAAAATACTATTTACATATTATAATGCGGTAAAAAAAGTAAGCTGTATAAAATCATGATTTCTTTTAAATAATATTATAATAATTTAATTTGCAGTTCTAAATCAAGTGTATGTTTCTTTACGTAGACATATTTTATACTTAAAAATTTCAGGTGAAATTTAAAATAATGTATTATACTGACCTTTTTTATGTTGACAACAACTTAAAAATAAAAGAATGGCTTCTTCAAACACTGACGTCGATGACTGATGACTGATAAATGTAATTTTGTTTTCAACCGTGGAAGTATAAACTCAATAATTATGACCACATAACATCCAAAATCTGAGTTTCTTATCATGCCTATAAAATAAAAACTGTTAGGAACTTGAAAAAAAAACGATCTTATCCAATGTATATGTATCTAACAACAATTTTTATGCCATCTGGGTACTTAATACTAATATTACAGTTGTTAAAAGGTGCATTAGTTCACACAAATATAATAAATTATTGTCTACCTTCAAACTGTTTTTTCTAAAACAAATCAATGTTATTAGCAAATGTCATTGTATTAAATGTTAAATTACTAACAATACATTGTAAATATTATTTTACATAAATCAAAAAACAGATACAATTGATAAGGATATTCAATGTCAACATGGAAAAATAAAAATATACACGATAAAAAAATTTTAAAATGTATCCATATCGCTGTAGTGCAAAATACCCCCAGGTTTAAAATTACCCATTATATTCTAAATCAAAAAAATATTTATCCGAGAAAATCGAATGCATTTAGATATTAAGAAAAAATACAATTCGACATTTGGGAAGAAAATATGCTATAATAATAATTTTTTTTTTGTTATATGAAATTGATACATTTGATTAAGCATAATATGATAATAATTGATGAATATTGAACATATTATCTAACGATGTACAAGTTACTAGGGTATAATAATATATTATAATAACGTTGAATAATTTGTTACAAAAAGCTTTATATACGATTTTTCAAATTATAAAAATTGTTATGGGGGGATGAGGTGACCGAGTGGTCTGACGCGTCCGCTGCGACGCAGCCGGTCGCGGTTCGATCTCGGCTACCGGGCGGCATTTTTCTCCGGACAAGTCGCGGTGACCGGAGAACAAGTGCTGCCATCCCCCACCCCCGGGGCATGGCAGAAACCTACGGGTGCCCCATTCGAAATTCTGCCAAAAACAAACACACACGTGTTCCCCCCTACCGTCCCAAAATATACAATACAAACAAACCTACAATACAAATCCTACTACAGCTAATGGCCTCAGTTGCCGAAGCTTAAGATCAATAAAAAAAAAAAAAAATTGTTATGATGCTTTTATGTTGATCAAATATGTAATAAGTAATACAACTTATATGGGTATAAATATTAAATTTACTGTCCATAAGACAGTTAAACTCAGAAAATTGACCGATCATATATTTTTTTCATTTGAGATGCATTCTTATTTAACACCAAAGCCTAAACATCTTCAGTTCCCTTAGGGTAATTTATTCTAGTCATTGTTCGATCCAATCACACAAGCACCATTATTCACTTTTAACGTTTTAATTTATACGACGCACCACTGAACGAATTTCATGGATAATGGTACAATGAAAGACCCCAGATAGAAAATAGCCAGAAATAAACGTTTAAACATAATATACCCCTCATATTTTACCATTCTATTTATTCTTTTATTTTTTATCGCCTTTGAATTTTAACCTTGATATCTTAGAATCCTTGTAATATTATTAACTAACTAAATAAGTCTGTCTAATGTCCATAGAGGATTTACAATTTATAAACCAGTATCAACATTTTTTAAACGAGTATACAGATTTTTACATTAAAAAAGACCTTTGCAGGCTAACATAAACAGTTGAATACAAAATAAGAAACATATAAGTGAAAAGGTTAAACTGCAGAATAACGTTTATCTAAAGTTTAAACAGCGACATTTTACACGATACTCTACTAAAACTTGTTATTTAAATATAAAAGTTAATGGGGCTAAATATAAATATATATTTATATAAGTAAGGTTATGTACACAGTAAATAATTTACTAATTCGTGCGATTGATTTAATTTTAATTTTTAAGATATTTAAGGTGAAAAGTAAAAAAATGAATTACTTATTGATTTATAGTTATAAATAATGTAAATATTTGAAGTATATATTGAACAATATAGGTATACAAAACAAAGAGGACAATACAATATCAATAGTCGAAATTAATTGTTCAAAATCTCAGATAACGCTTATTGCAAATTATCTGTTAGTTGTTACGAATTAGAACTATTATCGTAGAATTATTGTATTATATACCATTATTATACCACTTATCCTGCAGTACGTGCTTTGAAGAGATAAACAAGTTCAAACAGGGATAGGTACCTACTACCTATACAGAGTCGCTTTAAACATTCTTGATACTTGAAAGTTTCAATATTTATCCTTAGTTAAGCACTATAAGTAAGTAAGTATAGTTGGACGAAAAATAATACACCCATTTTTTAGATTTAATTGTTTTGAATAATCAATATCGCACATCAGTTACTTTTTATAATATATATTCCTCTAGATTTAGCTAATTTCATTATATTAATGATATCAAATAAAAATAATACTAATTATAATCATTTCGTGTTATAAAGTAATTAAAAAAATAAATTATACAAGCCCCTATGGTAAAACCTGAAAAATTTGACTTTTGCCGTAATAATCAATTATTCACAAATTAATATAATTATTTACACATACGCGTGAACTTTAAACATATTATATAATATAAGTCTCACAGAAATAATATAATACAAGTAATTTGGACTAAGTGTCTCGTGATAAAATATTATAGAGTGAATAATGTATTGAGTTATGATTTAATAGTAGGTATGTAAAATATTACACAGTATAGAAATGTCCATAGATCACTTAAAATTGATTTATCTTAAAGGAACAAGTTTCGAAAACAGACATTTTGCATAAATTTGATTTTGATCATTAGTAGATTCACTCTAATATTACAAATGACAATAGAAAATCGGTTCTGCTGAATACAAATGTGTTATGTTGTACGGCTGTAAGACAGTAACGAAAAATTCGGGGTTGTATCCACAAACATGTCTGTGTGTTTTATAACAATAATATTCCTTTATAATATTTACTGCCCATTTCAGTCCTGATCTACAAGCTAGTGGGGAACTTTCAAAAATTGTTTTCAGTAGTTTCCACTGGAGCAACCTAAATAATGTATGCAAATAACCCTAAATTCAAACAAATGCATTAAATAATAATATTTTTCACCAACATTTATGAATAACAACTAAAAAGCATTTAAGTTGTTATTTATGACTAGTTGAACGTGAAAAAAAATTGTTGACAAAAACAATGAATGAACCAAAATAGATACCACGAAACCATCTTTAAGTACTCTTCACGATATACATTGTCACATATTCACCATTCGCAACGTCATAAAAATATTTTATAACTAGCCATTTAGCACTACACAAAAAATCGGCAGTCCGAGTACGTACGGTAGCTGATGAGCTGCGCATTGCTTACCTAACCTATATAGCTACTGCAGCTACCACGTGGCACACTTAATCCCTTTCACGTGAACTGGTAGATAACCGGTAGGTTCAGGTGTGCCCAAGATTGTTATTTATTTATTTATTTATTTAATTGCCACACAGGAATTGATGAGGACACGAGTTCAATAATAAATAATAAGTATATACATACAATTGAAAGCCGTGTAAAAAAGTGTATAGAAGTGAACAAATATAATTCAAAATACACTGATTGGTATTTAAATTAAGCAATAGTACCAATAATTTAGTTAAGTGTCTGAAAAACTAAAATAATTGAATGTGTTCACCCTGTATAAGGGGTGATTATGAACATAGAATGCGAGATTTCACAATATTTAAAATACCTCACCAGTTGGTTTAAAATATTTAATAATCTTAAAACTGAAATTGACATGATTAAACTCGCTATAATTGTTAAGAACCTATAGTGTTATGAAGTATGAAATAAAATATTATATTATGCACCCAATGCAAAGAAAAGAACTTAATTACAACAGGGTGACCGGCGTGCTCAATACTTCAACGATCAAATATTCACACGAATAATAGCAAATTTCAAAATAATATAAGGTATACTCAGAACATTAGTAAATAAATCGATTGGATAAGCTGTGCCAGAAGGCATCAATACAGAAGTATTTAAATTTTAAGATTCAACTATTTGAAATTATTTTTGAAATGCATTTACCCTCGTATTTAAAATATACAAATATCAGTAAAATATATATTTGCATATGGTAGTGTAGTTGCATATATTTTCGTTCAAATATTTCAAATAATGTCCAAAGGTATTTTGTAACAAGAACATAGGTAGGTATAGTACTACGAAATAATGCATTACATTTCTTCAAGTCTTAAACACAGTATCGTTCTAATTACTTCCAATGTTCTAATAATTGCACGTGTTTACTCTGCACGAAAGTACTTACCTAGTTACTTAAAGTAAAACTCGTAATGTCTAAAGTGGTAATCATGAACTAATAATAATTTGAAACCGTTTTGTTAGTAAGTACCTACTTCTAATAATCAAATTAATTGCTTGGTAATTTATTATTATACGTGTTACGAATTTGAATTTTTTTTGACTAAGATTTTGGTCACAATTAGATTTCTCAACTGATAATTAGAATTATTTAAATTATGTTTTATTTGTATTGTTGTAAATGTTACGAGTATTACTTATATTATATAATTTAAAATATTTCTATACTATAACTGTTTTACAAATATTTAATTTATAATATGATGTATTATAGTCGTAATAAGTCTGGTATTTACTTATTCTGAAAACCAATAAACAATTAAGACCAACAAGTTTCTTAAAAAGTTAGCCATGCATTATTAGTTATTACTTATTACACAATAATAAAAAATAATACGAGTCGTAAAAGAAAAATACCTACTACAGGTACACGTGATATTAATTTATTAATATTATCCATGCGTATCGTTTATTTAATAATTCACCATCGATATAATAATATTATAATACTATCGTGATGCATTAACATTGTTGTTAAGTCAAACAACCACACAGTATATTGGAAACTCAAATGTTGCAAATGATTATCAAGTTTATCATTTTTAAGTACATTTTTTTGTTGCATCTGTACGTATAATTTACGTTTGGGGGTGACCATGGTGGAGCATGTAAGTGTTGTTTTTAGCGTTCGGAGGTCGCGAACCGGAGCGCAGAATCGAGAAAATATCCCACGTT